GCAGGACTGGGAAGATGGAGAAGTTGAGCTCTGATGCAGTATCTGTGAGGCCTCAGCTGACCCCACGTGGAGCTCTAAAGCTGGCTCTTCAGAATTGTCACAAGCTGGGGCAAGAGGCCTTTATACCTACACAGTGAACAAATGTTGGGTGCAGGCTTCCCCAGAAAGACAGCTTAAGTGGGAGGACTCTTCATCCAAGACAAACTGAAGAGGGCACAAAGCTGAGGGGTTTTTGCCAACCGCTGGGCAAATAGGTCCTTTGGTCCTAAAGGAGGATTTGAGTGGCTCACCACAGCATCCACTACAATATGGATATACTCATGATAATTTACTTAATTACTAAGGATGTGATGGAGGGAGGAAGTGTCTGTGAAGCGGTAGAAAGAGAAAACTTGTCAATGAGCAGTGGGAAGTTTGAGACTGGGTAGGAGGAAGAGTATCTTCGCATCATCTATTGTCCAACACGCTATTGTCTTTACGAATCCAAGTGCAGACTCCACAGTGGAATGTAACCACGTACGGGGCAGAGCAGAAGTCATGAGCATGTAACAGCTTCCTTACAACGAAGGTGCTCACATTTCAATACGGCCTTGGCCATTAGTCCTCACCTTGTATGCCAGCCAGTGGCCATCTGCAGTGCTCTGTTGAGAAGGAGTACGAGGCTGCTGCTGTGCTCAGCAGAAAGGACAAGGAACTTGATTTGCAGTGTCTGCCCTGGACACCAAGCATCATACCACAGAATCACCATCTCTCTAGTGTGGTGGTTCCTAACCAGGGTGCACATCCGAACCACCTGAGTTCTTTTAAACGCACATGCCTGGGCCATACTTCCAGAGACTGTGAGTCATGGGTCCAGAGTGCAGAGTGAACATTTTAAAAGCTTCTCAGGTGCTTCTGGCAACATCTCCAGTTGAGAATCACTGCTCCAGTGTAATATCACAACAGTTGTGTCACCACCCATATTCTGGTCATGAATCCCAATAGAGTAAGATTAAACAGATCTTATTTTTGTCATTATTCTTGCAAATCAGAAGCAGCACATGTCCCTTCTCTTGGGGCTGGCTTCCTGAGCATTTTGTGATCTTTTTAGTCATCTCCTGTGGAGAGCTCCCCATCCCACCCAATGGGCACCGCATTGGCACATTGTCTGTCTACGGGGCAACGGCCATCTTCTCCTGCAATTCCGGATACACGCTGGTGGGCTCCAGGGTTCGGGAGTGCATGGCCAATGGACTCTGGAGTGGCTCTGAAGTCCGCTGCCTTGGTAAGTGACCTCCCCAGACCTATCCTGCCCATTTTTCTCTCTTCAGCATAAGTTAGATCTTTCCAAAATTCGATCCTAATCTTTGAACAACAGCATATTATCTACTGTCATAAAACGCTTAATCCAAACATCAGCTACTAGGCATATGCCATAACTAAAACCCGGAACTAGCTTCTCTTGGGACACCCAAAAGAATGAGAAGAACTTCAAGTCCACTGAGACAAACCTTTGAGGGGTTCTCATTCTGATCAAAAAGATAACCCCTTCTTATTAGCCCTTGTGTGATGGGTGAAGCCCCGGTCTTCACCTTTGGGGAAACTTGCAAAGGCACATTCCTGTAATATATCTAAAATACCTTTTATATTATCTAGTAACAAATTTTACATGTATATGTATTTACCTTATATATAAATATATCTTTTTTCATTTGCTTATTGTATATTTATATGTATAATAAGCTATGGCAAAAGCATAAAAAATAGCCTGATTTACAAAGGACAAAATTATCATTTCCTCCATGGCTAATCCATTTCCTGCCTAAACCTTAGATTCAAAATGTCTCTCTTCTCTCACTCCTTTCTTGACACCTCAAGACCAAAGGAGGGTCCCAGCCGCACAGACTTAACAGTGTAGATTGGATGCTCTGTTCCACAGTGAACAGTACGGCCCTCCCACTGTCTCAGACCTCTGTTAGAGACAGTCATGAGTCACTTCCACACAGAGCCGAAGGATAGCTAGTGGAAATGCCAGGAATACACTCTACCCAAACCCCATTTAGTAAAAATAACTCAACTAGGTTTACATTGTCTGTGTTCGTTGCCCCTCAAGAAGAAGGAAGGATGAATTTAGCCAAACCACCTGTTTTCACACGGTTGTTTTCAACACAACCAGACTTTAATTGCCTTAATGTAGACCGCAGTGCCCTCCATGCAGTAGGTGCTCAGTAAATCCTGGTTGATGAGGAAAGGAGAGGGGCCATCCCAGAAGCAGGGAGGTAACAGTGATCATTTCTCTCTGTGTACAACACAGAAACTAAAGCTCAGAGAGGGATGGCCGTTTGGGATGCAACCTTGGGATTAGGGGTTGCCAAGTCTTCAACACCATTCTATCATGTCTAGGATTCCTGAAGTCACTCTTAGATGGCTACTCTCAGGGGGAGATGGGAAAACAATGGATCATTGGGTACTTAATCCTTTTCCCCACCATCCCTGTCTTCCCTCACCCTGACCAAGCCCCACCTCACTTTCTACAAGCTTCTGTTTGATTTACACTCTTTCCCCATCCCTCACCAAAGCCGGACACTGCGGGACTCCTGAGCCGATCGTCAATGGACACATCAATGGAGAGAACTACAACTACCGGGGCAGCGTGGTGTACCAGTGCAACGCCGGCTTCCGCCTGATCGGCATGTCTGTGCGCATCTGCCAGCAGGATCATCACTGGTCGGGCAAGACCCCTTTCTGTGTGCGTAAGTATGTTATCCACTCTCCCTAGTCACGGGCTCAGATTCAACATGGACTTTCCCCCATGTTGTCTTGGCTAGGTTAGCTAGAGATTTTTATATGTTTTGTTAATTTTTTTCAAAAGATGCAATCATTGCATCTATTATTTTCAGTTTGCTGCATCATTAATTACTATTTTCCCCTTTATTATTTCCTTCCTTGTGATTTCTTTTGGTTAACATTTTTGTTCATTTTCCAGCTTTTGATTTGGAAATTTAATTCATTTATCTTCAATCTTCCATTTTTATCGATTGTTACATATATAAGTGTTTAAGGCTATGAAATTTCTTCTGATCACTGCTCTAATTGCATCCCATAGGTTATAATAATTAATGTCTTAGTATTTATTAGAAGTTGTGTAATTTTGGTATTAATTTACCCTTTGACCTAGAAGTTTTTTAGTAGAAGAGTGTGCTTGTTTTTTTAACTTCCAGGTGGAAGGGCCTTTTTAACTTTTATTTTGTTATTCATGTCTAACTTTATTGCACTGTATGTAATATTTCTGCTTCATGGAATTTACAGATGCTTTCTTTGTGGCCTAATATTTGATCAACTGTTACGAATGTTCCATGTGCTTTTGAGAAGAAAGTGTATTAGGTGCAAAGTTCTATATATAATCGTAAGATGTCCCTTTTGTATGCTTACTTATTTTTTTGTTCACTTGACCTGTTTTGTTCTGAGGGGTGTGTTTTAAAGTTTTCTATTGTTAGTTTACTTCTGTTTTGCCTTGCATTTCATAGAGCTCCTGCTACATATAAGTAGTTGCTGTGTTATTTGGTACATGCATATTTATAACTATGATATCTACATTGCAAATTGTGGTTTTAGCCTTTAAAAGCGTCTTCTTTGTGACTTTTAATATTTTCTAGCTTGAACTGTACTCTACCTGATATTAGGCTTGCAGCTCCTGTTTTCCTCCTTTTTCCATGTGCCTGTTGTACCTCTAACAGTCCATTCATTTTAGCCTTTGAGTCACTTCAATTAGGTGAGTCTCTTGTATACATCACAGAATTGGGCCTTGCCTTTTGAGCCAATTTGAAAATCTTTTAATAGGTTAGTTAACCTCATTCACATTTATTGTTATGACCTACATGTTTGGTCTTAATTCTGTCTTGTTTTCTGTAATTATTATGTGTAAACTATCATACACGTAATATATCTTTATTTCTTTCTCTGTGGTGGTGTATTTTCTTTGCTTTTTTTTGCTTCACTTTTCTTTTCATTTCTTTTGGTTTTTAGAAAAGTTTGTATACTTTTATGCCCCTCTCCTGTAGTCAATGCACTGAAATACCAGGATCCTTTTTCAATATGTTCACATTTAAGACGGACTTTCTCAGATCACCAGTCCTCTCCTCCTCTCTTCTCTTTCCCATGCAGTCTTTTTCTCCACAAAGGCTTGCAACAGAAGCATGAGAAGTAGTTCTGCCTGATTTACTGTTTATTTTTCTACTTACGCATAATTTAAAGTTTGTAGCATTCTCTGCCTATTCATTATGCTGTGGGCCTGGGCTTTCTATGGTTTTATTTGTTCTTCATGTTAATCTGCATGTTTTGGATTTAGATGACATCGTTATTCTCAGATGCTTGGAAGTCATTTGGAAAATTCTTCATTTTTTAAAGTTCCGTAAAGCGAGACTTGATGTAAACTGCAGGGACTTTCGTTCTTAATTTTTGTAAGGCAGTTTTTTGTTTCTAACTCTTCTTCTTCATTTGGCTTTTGATAGATGAGATGGAGCAATAAAATAGTGAGACTTACTCAATAAGCACTGCATGAAAATTAGTCAATAGCTTCACTGTTAGGTTTGCAGAAAGCGAGATCCATCTACATTCAGTCAGTCTTCCAGATGTGTCTAAACAAAACAGATTTGGTTTTATCCAGAAGACGCAAATTCAAATGCCTTCAAGAAATTGGCACAGAACGTGTGTGAAGAGATTTGGGTTATAAATAACAGGGAATGTTGGAGTCTGAAACTAAATGGAGAATGTCTGGCCGGCTTAAAGACACTTAATTTTAGACCTGGTCTATACTGAAAGGAAGTAAATTAGTTAGACACTTGGACCCTGGACCTAGATTGCCTGGGTTCAAATCCCAGAGGCGCCACCATATATCATCTGGCTATATGACTTTAGATGACGTAGTTTACCTCGCTGGGTCTGTTTCCTCATCTATTCAAAGCAGATACCTCGAAGACTGTTGTGAGGCTTAAATAAATTAATACATGTACGATGGCCAGAACAGTGCTTGGTGGAGATTTTAAGCAGATGTTGCTGTTGTTGTGATAACAAGGATGGTGGTGTGGAGGTGGTGGTGCCGCCATCCTGTGATGTCACAGAATCCAGGCTCTCTTGTAGCAAGTCCCATTCTCTCCTGGAGCACAGAGACCTGGGGAGTATACGGAGGAGGAAGGCAGGAGTAAAAGAAGAAACATTTATAAGTGATTGCTCTGTGGTAGGCGTTGTGTTAGTGTCACCACATAGAAATTCAAGGTTTCCAATATGACCCACTTTCAAAACTTTCCAACATGGGGCCGGCTCTGTGGCCGAGTGGTTAAGTTCACGTGCTCCGCTGCCTCGGCCCAGGGTTCGGATCCTGGGCGCGGACATGGCACCACTCGTCAGGCCACGTTGAGGTGGTGTCCCACATCCCACAACTAGAAGGACATGCAACTAAGATATACAACTGTGTACAGGGGGGTTTGGGGAGATAAAACAGAAAAGAAAAGAAAAAGAAAAAAAAAGATTGGCAACAGTTGTTAGCCCAGGTGACAATCTTTAAGGAAAAAAAAAACTTTCCAACAATCCTTCTACATTTTCTCAGTTAGCTCTCTTGCCTGTTCCCACACAGCTGTTTCATAATCTCACCTCTTTTCTGAAGACTCATGCTCCACACTCAGATAGCTTCTTAGAAACAGTGCCCCTTGAACAAGGCTCCTGACTCCTCTGAAACCTTCCTGTGAGGAAACAATGGCGCCTACCTCACCGGATTGTGAGGATTAGTGAAATAATGCATACAAACCCCAAGAAGTATTAGCTGATTGTACAATCTCGCTTTCTCTTTTGCAGAGATGGTTGAAGCCCTCAGACAGTAACTCCTTCACTTCCTGCTTCCCCACCCACCCTTCTGTCCTTGTCTGCATTCGCCTTGTCTCCCCCAGGTCCCAGGCTGTGCCCTCCACTGAGTTTCGGCATCTCCTTCCTCCTGCCTCCTTAGTGAGCTCAGTCTATTTTAACTCTCTCTTCTCTACTGCTGCCCTTCCCTCTCTAGTAACTTCCCTCACCCTATAAGACCATATTCAAACATTTCTTTAGCACCTCCTATGTGCCGGGCACTGTGTTGGGTGTTGTGGATAAAGATGAATTAAAAGTGTCGTGGTCTCTGCCCTCAGGAAATTTGGTTGCAGTGGTCCAGGTGCTCAAGCCCCAGTTAGGGCTCGAGCCTCATCAGGACCCTGTTTTCCTTCCTAGCAATGTGTTCTCCGTCTCCCTTTTGCAGCCTGTATTGGTCAGGGTTCTCCAGAGAAACAGGCCTATCTGGGGTGTGTGACACGCCCTGAGACTCTGCCTGTGGCTCCTGTGGCACTCCCGCCTCCTGTCGAGCTGTTTTCTACTTTGCTCAGTTTCCTTTGCAGGCGATCTGCCCTTCAAAAGCTGGAATTTACTCCTCAGCACTCTTCTCTTGCTTTATACGAGTGGTTTTTAACCTTTTGGGAGGGGGTCATGACCCTTTGTGAACCTGGTGAGAGCGATGGATCCTCCCAAAATTGATTACATATACGCAATATTTGGCATGTCATTTCTGTGGGTTCACAGACTGCATGAAGTTTATATCCACCCTCCACCACCTCACTGACCAGGCAAAGTCCTGCTCACCCTTGAGAGCCAGCTCGGGGATATGCCACTCCCTCTGAGAAGCCCTCCTTAACCCACTGTCTCCCCAGGGGAGGGTAGATGCCCCTCTGGCTGGCCTCTATCTCAGCACCAGCCCACTGTGTTGTAACGGTCCCTGCTCTCCTACTAGACTGTGAGGTGAGCCCCCTGAGACCAGGGAACCTACCATACCGTATGCCTTGTATGTCATCAGCACATAGCAGAGTGCCTAGCACACAGAAGGCGCTTAGTGAATATTTAACAAAAAGTAATATATGAATCTATTTTCAAAGTAACCTTCTTCATACATGTTGAAATCCTTGCTTTACAGAGGTAGAAACTGAGGCTCAGAGTGAATTGTCCAGAGTAAGGATAGGGCAGAGCTGAGCTTTAAATCCTGGTCTGCTGGCCTCCATAGCCCGTTCTCGTCCCAGTGCGTCAGGCTGTCTTGAACCCCTTTAGTCCATTAACAGCACGTCTCCGCTCTGCCCAGCTTTCTCCACTAGAGTCAGGGATGCTACTATTGAGATTTATAAAAGAGAACTGATCAGAAAGTTACCACAGCTGGCCAGCAAAAACTGGGTCCTGCCTGCTCTTGTTCCCCCACCCCAATCCACACTATTTGGGTTTGGGGTGGGTCCCAATGGATCCAAGTGTTGGATAAGAGAGCGTCCCTCATGGTTCCTCATCTTCTCACAACAAAAATCCAGAGCCCAGGGAGAGGACTGTCAAAAGCATCAAGTGGGAGCTCAATGCAAAGAGACCAGGGTTCCAGGCAGGTCCTAACTAGAACTAAGGACTAGGGAGCAAAGCAGAAGCCCCAGCATCCATCCATTCATCTCACTCACTCGTTGGTTCATTCACTCAGCAAATATTTATCGAGCTTTTCCTATATGTCAGGCACTGGTTCAGACACCAAGGAGACAGTAAGGAACAAAACCAGGTCCCTGCCCTCATGGAGCTTACGTTCAGGTGAAGGGAGACAAGCAATGAACAAGTGAAGACGTGCGTGTAGAGTGTGTCCATTGCTGTGGAGAAAAGCAGAGCAGGGCGAGGGGCCTGAGCCATGCTGGCGAGGGTGTTTGTTGGCTCGTAAGGGAAGCCTCACTGAGATGGTGATTTTTGAGGAGAAACCTGAGGATACAAGGGCAGGAGCCAAGGGATACTCTGGCAGAGAGGAAAGTGAGTGCAAAGGCCCTTGGGCCAGCACTTGCTTGGTGTGTTTGAGAAACCTCAGAGACCTGTGCCCTGAGTGGAGTGAGCTCCCCTACTGGGAGGACACAGGAAAGCTGGGACAGAGGGTAAGTGTGAGGGCTCTGGGACCAGGCCTGCGAGCACCAGGTCCTCTTCCTCTTCCCTGCCCACAGTTGAACAAATTGCAAAACAAAACAGAGCTGTAAGTGGATGCCAAAATAGCACCTTTGTTACTGATAAGAGCTAAGTTGGAAACCATAGCTTAATATGAGAGCCAATTGGGGTCAGCTAAATCCACCCCAGAGTGGGGTGGATTCACACACCATCAGAGGCAGCCCTGCACTGCGGCAGGCATCCCTCTGTTCTGGGGAGAGCCCGACTCTGGAGGAGCAGCAGGGAACATTGCTGCCTGCAGGCAGCCAGGACCCAAGAGGAAGAAGGCAGAGCTGAGCCAGTGGCTCCTCATTCTTCCCAGAATGAGGACGCAGATTGCACAGTGGAACACCCCACGTTACCTGGGGCGGAGTAAGCAGGAGAGCATAGAAAAATGCCAGGAATTACGCAGATTGAACTCCCTTCACATGGAAAGCTTGAGGAGAGGGGCTGTGCTCTCCTAGTAACTCGGGTCCCCACAGTTTGCCTGCCACTGGTCTGCAGGGAGACCCAGCCCTCCGCTCATGCTCGGTTAGTATTGACTCTGGTTCTGTCATGATTGGCCCAGGAACTAGGCTGAGTCTGAATCAGCTGAGGGGTGGTCATCAGTATATCCAGCAATGGGGAGTGGAGGAGGGGAGCCACGGGGATCAGAGACAGGAAATGAAGCAGGACTGACAACCTGGACAACAGAGAATTACAGTCCAGGCCTATGGGAAGTCAGAGAATGATTTCTCTCAAGTTGTCCAAGCTGTGGATGTACCTTCAAAGAAAAAGGCATGTCCCCATTCTGAATTCAGGAAATAAAGTTTTTGCAGCAAAGAAGACCAAAGTTAGACTTAGGGCTAACCTTGCTGGACATAAACAATGCCAGGTGAGAAGAGGATGAACTTTTTGGGGTGTGGAATGGCAGGAGGACTTACCTGTCTTCTGTTTTGGTTGCAGCGATTACGTGTGGACACCCAGGCAACCCCATCAACGGCCTCACTCAGGGCAACCAGTTTAACCTCAACGATGTGGTCAAGTTTGTTTGCAACCCTGGGTATGTGGCTGAGGGGGCTGCGAGGTCCCAGTGCCTGGCCAGCGGGCAGTGGAGTGACACGCTGCCCACCTGCCGAAGTGAGTCAGCCTTCTTGTCCCACTTCACCCCAGTCGTCTGCCACCTGTGGTTCAGTAGCCCATGAGCAGAAGCCAGTGAATTCAGTCCTGGCATTGTTTTGACTCTATTTGGACAGGAAAAAAAAAAAAATGGGGCTTTCTCAACTCTTAGATACAGCCGAGTAAAATTTCATCGTTGGTTATATCAGGAAAGCAAACCAAGTCTCACCTTTCGAAATAGAAATGGAAAATAATTCTTGTTTACATTTCATAGAATAAGTAATTCATCATTATCAAATAGAACCCATTCTTAATGAAAGAAAAAAACAGAAGGGTTTAGAATAAAAAGTAAAAAGCAGGGAGTCTACGGATTGAGATGAAGGGGAAGGGGAGAGAAGAAACCAAGGCATCAAGAGACAGACTCTGTGTAGAGGATGTTCCAGCCCCATGTGGACTATTTAGGAAATAGCTTCTAAAGGCTTTTCGCATAAAGGACAAATGGAGCTTTGGACCTCTTACCGAGAATGGTCTGGAAGGCTCAGTGCCATTTGAGGGGAGAGTCGGAGCGAGCTGAACATGAGCGAGCCCAGCTCCGATCTGGAGGTTGATCAAGTCTTCATAGCCATGAGGGCTGAAATTCCTTGGGATGATGGCTCCTTGTTGCAGTATTTAGGGTGCATGGTGATTGGCTGTGCAATGTGTCACGAGTCATTTGTAACTAGTATTAAAGGACCAACATTTTCAAATGATTTTTTTAAAATGAATCAAGATACATTGACAACTAACCCTAAAATAGCATCCCTCTCTTCACATGTCAAGATGCCATTTTGAGTCAGAGAAGGTTCCAGAGAACACAAGGAAAAGCGCCATGGCTTTGCGTTGTGCCTGCTTTCCATCAGGCAGGGACCAGTCGAGAACTGCTGCTTTGGGTGTTGTTATCCCATGTCCCCTTCTCCTCAAATACTGTGCTCCATCTCCCCAACACAGTGTCCTGTCTCTCTCCTGTAACTTCAGCTCCCACTCCCACCAGCCCGTTCCCAGGGCAACGTGTTCAAGGGCAGGTCTCGGAATCAGAGGGCTGGGGTAAAATCCTTAGACACCCTGGCCCCCAAGACTGCTCCCCACCAGCCCATTCTCTACCCTGACAGAGTGACCTGTCTAAAATGCGGATATGATCAAGTCGCTCACTCTCGGTTTAAGATGCCTTGCCAGACTCCCCACTGCCCTTCAGAGAACGGTACTCTCCTCCGCTGGTTTACTGGACCCGTGGGGCCTGGCCCAGCCTCCTGTCCAGCCTCATTCTTCTCCGCTTCCTCTGCCCCCAGCCTCACTTCTGCACTGAGTCACAGCCACACTGAATCTGTTCCATTTGCTGACACGTGCCCTGCACCCATGCACCCCAGGGCACTCCCACGGTTTCCTCCAATGCATTCTTCTCTGTCCTCCTCACCACCCACTCTTTGTCTGGGTGACTTCTACTCAACCATCAAGAGTCAGCTTAAATGTTACTTCTTCAGGGAAGACTTTCCTGCTCCACACTCTGCATTGGGCTAGATTCTTTGCTTTGTGCTTCCAGAACATTCTCTGCTGCCCCTATCAGACCACTTATCAAACAGGATAATTGCTTGTTTGTCCTTTTCTCTCTAGACCAGCAGTTCTCAACTAAGGATGATTTTACCCATCCCTTTGCTCTAATAGGGGACAAATGTCTGGAGACATTTTTGGAGAGTTTCTATTGGCATCTAGTGGGTTGAGGCCAGGGATGCTGTTAAACATCCTACAATGCACAGGACCACCCCCTACAACAAAGAAGTATCAGCCCAAAATGTCCATAATGTCGAGGTGGAGAAATCCTACTCTAGATTGTAAATTCTGTGATATCCTTGCTCCCCAGCACTGTGGTTGGCACACAACGTTATCACAATAAATGTTGTGAATGAATAAATACTACCTACTTGTTTTATGATGCCAAACTCTCTGAACCTCAGAGAAGTTCAGCAAAGGTAAAAACACCCTTCACTTTAAAAGCTTAGGGCCAGCCTGGTGGGTAGTGGTTAAGTTCACACACTCTGCTTTGGTGGCCTGGGGTTCTCCAGTTCGGATCCTGGGCATGGACCTAGCAC